ACAGACGTATACTTGATCCTAGTTGTCAATTTCTGGTAATTTACCCTGGTAATCATTGCAATTTAGTATGGTCAATGGCCTAAACGTGTGTTGGAAGCTAATCGTGTTTGTACCTATTATACTTTAATGGGCATATAATGATGGCTTATGTTATAACCTATCGATTTTCAAACAAGAAGAATGGTTTAATCGCACAATGTATACCGGTAGTCTGCGGGACTTAATTGTGGCGCCTTTAAGATTATCTCAGCCCAAAGGTGGATAACATCTGACGCGCAAGACTAATATGGCACGCTGATGTATCGGTTGCTCTCTGCATTCATCAAATGTTCTGTCCAAATATTCATTAATTAACTCCATGAAAAAATGTCCTTCATGAGAAGCAAAATGTCGCCAACTAGGAAAAAAATGCCCAATCATTTCATAGAACCCTGATGCTAATTACTGTGTCCACAAGACCCTGTCTCTTGTCCCTGTTGTAAGTCAGACAAATTTAGTCCACATTCTTACACCCTACTTCAGGTGAAAGGTCTATATGAGACATGAAGAAGCGAATGTATTATACAGGCCTTAACAAGGTAGTGGGGGGCATAATGAATAAGTGTAAACACGTGACACCAAGGTGTTCCTACGCAGCACGTGACTTTGAGCACATTCTGTGTACTGAGTGCACCAATTCCTTGTAAAGAAACAACACATAAGCTATACAACAATCCGATTTCTCCTTGAACACAATAATAATGGGATCATCTTGAACTTACTCAAGAGCTATAATTTAAACAGTATTTAATTTTAGCCGAAAGAACGTAGTTTAATGTAATTATATAAAAATCAACCTTTGAGATTAATTTCTGAATTTGTGACACTTTTTCAAACTTCGGAGCCCAATTGCGTTTATCGTAGTAACCCGCTTCGTGGCCCGGAGTCTCTAAAATGGCTTTGTTGTGTTAATCGTGCAAGGCAAATGATAGGCCGATAATTGTAAGGATGGTCACAACCTATTCCTTGTTCTTATTTCGCAATTCATCGTTCACAACAATCCTCCAATTACCTGTCAACTAACTTCGGGGAGAAAAGTTCTTCTAAGCTAAGAGTCTCGTCACGTCTTGCATTTCCAGATCACACAACTACATTCTGCAACCGTTACAATTTAGCCTGCAGTATTTGATCTATTAATTTTCATCATTCTCCGTCAAACTGTTTTATGCTCCTTTAACTCGTAATGAGCTCCATTATCGAATGGGGACAGCAAAAATTGATTGGCGAATTGAATTTTGCCCGTACCTGTCCATTATAGCCCTTACGTCAACTGTTGAAGACGCTCAAGAGAATTTTGTCCTTTCACTTTTTTCATAAATGTTTCGACGTACGTACGAGAAACTGACACGTAGACTAACGTAAAACAATAGATTCCATGATTAACACTTGAATGAAAAATTTGTTGATACAATGTAGGACTACAGCTATTCAAGGAGAAATACAGGCTAAATAAAAACAAACTGCTCTATTTCTATGGCTTATGCAGTGTGTTTAACTTCGAAAGAATACATTTGTATCTGCAACAAATGAAAGCCAAATGCAGTAAGGTAGGCAAAACATAAATAAATAGGGGTACTTGTGTCAGCAGCCTTTCCTTGGAGCTTGGAAAAGTCTACACTAGTTTCCTGTGTTCGTGGGATTTATACGGCGGTGTCAGTGCCAAATCTTAAATTTAAATTGTCTGCGTTTTGGTGCCCTGACAATTGCTATCACGGTGGGTCTCTCTGTAAAACGAATTACCAAAAAGCGATTGAAGAATTGCTTACCTTGAGACGCTGCAGTGATCCAGATTATTAGACAGGAAAACCGCAGCTGTTAACAAGCTGTACGGGGTTGCGAGGTCACGCGCTGACCACAAATGCCCGTGCGGAACGTCCCTTTGTCTCGTACACAACACCGGGTCTATTAGTTTGGGGCAGGGATGAGTTCCGCCCCGGTGCACTGCGAGATCCTGGGCTGCTCAGACACGCATATCGCGGGCCTCAAACCCCGTTAGTGACTTTCTGTGACGGATGAACTCGGTGACTGGGGTGATGAGATCCCCAGCCCAAGGAATCCTATCGCACGCCCAGGTAAGAGTTCTTAGTCTGCGTTTAGCTAATGCAATGAGTTGGGAAGATTCGAAACAGACGAACGTGCATTACTTCAAGTTTTATTTCAGCCTTCGCCGGAGTAAATGAAAACAATAACGAAAAATCCAGTCAGAATAACCGGTAATAAAACCGAGATTCGAACCCGGCAGCTCTCGAATGTACGGAACAGACATGATCCTGTCGGACTGAAGCTCTAAATAATGCAGTTATTTGGAGACATTCTAGTTGTAGTATATTGTTCCAAAAATAAAGTATTCTTTGTATTTTGAATAACTTACTAGAAACCACCGCCAGAAAGCAATTGCCTGACAGCGACGATACAGTAATCTACGAGGATTATTCTTCAGTTACTAATAAGCCTTAAAAGTAGACTAATTTTTTTATTCTTTGCAACTGCGATTGGCTGTCATGATAACACATGCGACGTAAAAAATATCTCGCTGTCCCCGTCAAGGACACTCATGTTCGTCTCGTGTCGTCCATCCTTCACTGGATGTTATCTGAGAGTAGGAAACCTCGTAGAAGCACATCATAGGTTCAGAGGTTTTCACAGAAACATGATTTTAGAAATTTTCTGGGCTGTTGCGCCTTGTAGTCTGACTTCTGGGTCTGTAAAACGTTCCTCCGAAAATTTGGTAAGTAAGGTCTGCAACCAGAAGACAGCACAGCCCTAAATTCCAGGCAGCCACTAGTCCCATCTAAAATAACACCACCGTTTTAAAACTAATATACATTCATTTATGAAGTCTCTGATAATGAAATTTTTATCTAAACCCAATAAGTAGACTATATTATACATCTGTCTCTTCGTCATGAGGTTTCAGAACTTGTAGATGGAATTTAATTTCGAAAACCAACAAAATTTACATAAAAATGCATTAGTAGATGCCAAGGGATATAAACTGCCGTTTAAGTAACCAAAACCTATGTTAGAATTTCTGAGTTGTTTATTATTTTATTTGTTTATTTTCGTCTTGTAAATTGTTGCTAGGCCTATAAGCCATTGAGCAAACAAAAAGTCAGTTTTACCTGTCTATTTACTTCAAAGAAAAGTAGCCTAAACTGTTGAATAGGCCCTATCCAATGGAAGTTTCAAATAAATACACGCAAGAGACTTCATTTCATTGGCTTACACTGCAAGACATAAGCAGATGAAAAGTGCTTATAATTAAGCCTCTGGCCCCCCTCAGAAACTTGCAAAACATGTTCACAAGAAACCTAATTTCCATAATTAGATCGGGAAGAAGAAACAAAAAAGCGGAAATATTTATGGTTATGTTGGTGTTGACCTTCTTGGTGCAAACTGCCTCAAAAGCACCGGAGTGCCTACCTCAAGATCGTAGATCGAGTACAAAACAGAAATGAAAAGGCTGGCGGCCTTGTTCATAGGCTTTCGCGGCTGGAGTTCAATGTGAAACTTTGGCTTTCGGTGAGAGCGTCGAATGTTGATGATTAACCAACGTCTCGGGAAACATTTCATTTGTCATTTTTAACGTAGGCTGACACCAAACATTTGACGCTCTCACCGAAAGCCAAAGTTTCATAAAAAATGCTAAAGTGTTAAATTCGACTTTCCTTTTCCACAAGATACAGACCTACAGAAGTTCCTGAACTTACTATTCACAGTTAATTTTGACTGCCTTAGAAACTGGATCTGAGACAGGAAATTTAAAAAACTAAAACGGGCAGGAATAGGCCCTACAAGGGTTCTGAAATTTGACACGGGACGATTGAAAAGTGAGCTTTATGTTTTACACAGGCCTACAATGGTGAAAATAAATGTATGTAAATGTAGTCTTACGTCTCGCACATAAGTCTGCATCGTAACTTATTTTGTAAACAGCGAGCCATACAAAAAGTCATAGGCCTAAGGAATAAAAATTGTTGGTTGTTATAGGCCCAGGTAGGGCATCTCTGGAATTTGAGATACGAAAAACCTAATACAATAATTAATACGGAGAATGCTATTCATGTTTCGTGATCTAGTTCTCGAACGTCTAATGGGAATAGACTTTGGTCTAACAGGACAAAACAGTATGTTAGAAATATTAATGCCTGATTATCTATAATGTCGTATGTAGGCCTAAATTTAGAATCCCACTGTATATTGCTCAGTAAAATTAATTTTCATCAACAGGGACAAAAAGTAATTAGGATAAAAGGTGTTCTGCTAAGAGACGTTGAAAAAAGGGGGATTTTATGTTGGAAATTGTAAGCATGACAAAATACTTCACTAAGGCAAGTTTTGTGCTGTCCTGCTTACAGGTAAAGGCCTTGCGACGGGCCGGTCACTTATCCAAGGAGTCCTATCAAATGCCTAAATAGTGTAACCTCCACAAGAGTCGGCCAAGACCCACACTGGGTTGTAGAGCCACAGATGATGATAAAGGCAAGTTCTAAAAGGAAGGACAACAACTACGGGACTTACAGCTACGAGTATCGCTACAGGCCCTGTAAGTTGCGTTGTTAAGGTAGATAACACAGGTTTCTCACTTAGATTTCAACCTCTGGAAAATATCAGTTACGTAGCTTCAGAACAGAACGTATGCGGTGGAACATTGTAATTTCTGCTCTGTGAAGGTATAGAACGTCCATAGTAAGTTAAGTACTTTACCTATGGCTTCCATTAATCTTCCAGGATAATATTCAAAAGAAGTTACAATATTCGATATTTAGTCTACAAGCTACAACTTCCTGCATCTTTAAACAGGCTTCTGACTACAGGTCACGTTATCTATAACCGGTAAGATCTGTCACGTTATTGACGGCAATGCAATATTTAATCCAAACAAAAATCCACCAGTAAGTCATGTAACGTTGAACGCGACAGGTAGGCCATCTCTAACCTAACCTAACCTACGAGCTCACCGACTGGTCGGGTGCAGCAGGTGTCCTCCTTCACATCCACGATGCTCCTTATAGAGAACACGGACTTCGCTACACGTGGCTTGTTGTTGGTATTCCCGTCGCAAGGCGCGAGCCGCGACCGTGTGGTAAGGTCCATGCTACTATCTCACTTGCCCTCAGACCGACTCGATCGTATGTGTTGACGTCAGTGGGTGCAGATTCCAGAAGTGCACAAAACACACTTAAATCATGCCACTCATCACAATCACTGAACTTTAGTTCGACGTCTAATATTTATTTCATATAATAACACATAAACGACAAACAGTCTGCTTTACTTATCATTTGTACCTTTAAAACCGAGCCATTTTTACTTTTAAATATGAACCTAATGTTTTCAGTTGTCTTGAAATGTCCTCTTGCACGAAGAAATCACAACTCGCAAGGTCCATTTAACTGCAACAAATCTAAACAAACCTCATCGCGAGAAAACAAAACACAGAGTACTCGTTGCGGAACCTGTCCGCTAGATGGCAGAATGTTCCCTGTCGACTACAGATCGCTCGGAATGTCGTGTTAATAAAGAGCACATTGTTTATTTCACTGCAGGCAGGCTACGTTCCGTATGTTTCAACGTAGGGTATCAGTAAAACTGCAGTGCATGTTTACTGTCGACCACTAATAACACATACACGAACTTCCAATTGTGCCCACATTTGATTTGAAGCCTTGGTATGTTGTGCAAGCCCTGCCTCGTCCTGATCGCGTAAACAACGCAGTGGAAACACCCGCTGTCATAAAGCTGTTTACCTTATTAGCCACGCCCATTCTCCCTCTCCTTAGGCAATCTTAAGATGACAAAGACGGCAGGCGTCCTCTATAAAAATTGAAAGCACTGCAGGCTCACCAATCACAAACAAGCAACGCCCATGTGACTGAAGATCCCCCACCCAAAGATCCGTTCGCCCCACCTACTCTGACATGTGGCCACAGGTCTGTGCGGTAAACTTACAAAATGGCTAACCGCTGCACCTAATTACAGAGGCGCTAATTGCAGAAAAATACGTTTACTGTCCAATAAATGAATTAAGTAATAACAATAGCATTGCTCCGTAATATTTTACTTCAATTTTTTTAAACAACACAGTAGGAGTCAGTGGTGGACTTCAAACGCAATTACGTGACACACAGCTCTCTTGCGCCTTTGCATGCAATAATTGCTAACCCATTCATTGTTTTAGGCTTCTTTCAGTCCAGTAAAATTGTAATAGGTCTAACATGTACTGATTCCTGTTATCAGTGGGTGTGACCGGTTGAACCACCTGCAAGGGGGAACAGGGTCCTACACACACAGTGGCATGTAGGACTTTCGCACTTCACGCATGATCGAACTCCTGCTTCGTATTAGGGAGATCTCCGAATCTCGGCCCAAAGACCGGTTATCCTGACTGAGGGTTTTCGTGGTTTTCCTCAACCCCTCCAGTCAAATGCCGATACAGTACCTTAAATTAGGCCACGACCGCTTTCTTCCATATCCTTTCGAATTCATTATTTATTGTCATCCTCCCATTAGACGATAGTCTGACAAAGCGTTGTTAAATAAATAAGTAAAGAGCGGAGAAAGATCGTGTGAGGGGGCAAATGCTAATACTCGCTCGGCTCATTGTCGTGTTTACAAAAGGCCGCAAAAGGACTATTGGTATCAGCCTGTTACATACGCTAATAAAGGTCTGACTTCATGGTAACTATGATGTTATGCCGTGTAATCTGACATAAACTAACCGACGTTTCATAGGTGCTTACTTTCTTCATCGGATTATTAATTGAAATATGACAGACAACAGATGAGCTTCAAATTTGACTCTAATCTAAGTCCCAAACACATTTAAAAACTGAGCAAAGAACCGCGTGAACCAAATGAAATGTTTGCCCTGAAGATGGACAGACAGCAACGTTGAACGCGACAGGTAGGCCATCTCTAACCTAACCTAACCTAACCTTCTTCATAAGCAGTGGTAACCATCTCGGCTGTAAAATTACGCTGCGTCGGCTCCATAAGCCAGAAAACCAAACCCATAAATATCCAGGCCTACAATATTATAAAAACAACAAATAAGGACTTCCTGGCAGAACTTAATCCCCAATGCAGAGACTCGTCACCCTGATGACGAAGGCAGAACGCATCTCCGAAATTTCTACCAGATTACACGGCGCAGTCTTCTTCATAAAATAAAGCTGGTCCACTTGGGGAGAGAGGGGATGTAGCTGCTAGCCGTTCTTTATCTTGGCAACAGATGAGGGTGGATGGTCAGTGCTTTACTCCCAGGGAAATAACCCCCAGTACCCATTTGGCAGGACCCCAGAGCTAGAAGAAAGACCCTTTGTCCCCCTGTCTTCCAGTCTCACTGGCTCTTCGATTGTTTAATATTCTGAAAAAATGTTGTTGATAAAAGTTTTATATTTTACGAAGCTCTATCTTACTACCATAGACCTACGTCATTTCAGGACCCTTTAAAAACTATTTAAGAGGCTGGTAAGATCGAAGCCTCAAATGGTGTGACGTCCATGTCTCCCAAACATCGGAATAAATTGGCAGATGGTTCAATAGTCAAAACAGGGGGCCAGATATAATTGTGGCACCAAACAAAAAATCTCCCTTTTCTCGAAAATAAATAAAAGCACAAAAATTCGAAAGAGTTATGTCTGCATTTTTGGGCAGTTAACAGAAAATCCTAGTTCATTCTCGGGGGATAAGACGGTAGGAAAGTGAAACTGACTCACATTCATTTCCATCTAGTATCGTGCCAAGAATGAGCATACCATCCCCCGCAGATAAGTATTTTCTTGTGTTCAAGTGTTCTGAAATACGAATGTGTTTCCATCATCTTGACACAGTCCAGCTGTCCAATTATACTATCGCATTTACAACCAGCTGCTGTGGATACAACACACTAACCTTGTGTTCCGATAAGAGTGTTGTGGAAAAGCTCAGTCCGGTCCGCGACGTTGTTTGGATAAGTCGGTCCTCTCCTACACTAGACCTACAGGTGTCCCACTTAACGTGAAACCGGTCACAACAGCACGCCGCAGCAGCCAGCGAACTGCCAGGAAATGACTTAATCGCAATGCAGAACACAGGTGCAACCGTTTCGCGCCAAGAGGAGTCCCTGGGAATACGAGCGAAAGACGAACTGACGTTCTGCAGAAGAATAGTTCGTTGTGCGCGCAAATGGTGTACGCAGGCGTCGATGAATGTTTTGTGAAAGACTATAGTGCAGTCGTTCATGCCCACCTCACTTCACTCCCCTGCCAACTTCTCTTGGCGCACTGACAGTAGACGGGTTACAAATTACAGGAAACTCTCGGTTTACGAACATTCGCTACAACGAACGTCACAATTCATTCAAAATTTCTTAAATTCGCCAATAGATAGAGTTCCTTATAAAACAGAATGTCAAACGTATAGTGAACATAATTGTAAGACTTAAATAAACAAACTTTTAAAAAATGTATTTATTACAATAATTATCAGAAAATTATTACATGATAATTATACTGAACTGTTCTTGAATATTAAAACTAATCTAGCCAGCAAAAAAACGTTGGTTTACGTGCCACGCCGCGTAGAATGTTGTCTCGTGGGAAAGAAATCGGTAATTCCCCCAATTATAATATAATAGGATCATCACTTGCTTTGCTTAGTTTATCTTAGACGGCCAAGTGTAGTTCTGCATTTGGTGACTTAGAAATTTATTTTTTAAAATGTAAGCGATAATGGGTCTAAAGCGAAATAGTAGTGCTGGTACTGATAAACCATTACGGATACATACATTATAATAAAACGTATTGTATATAGACCATTCGATGTTTAGTACATGGTTTTAATGTTTTAAAATGGCTACTAACGTATAAGATACGTATCGCAAAAGCTCGGGAATGCAAGACACACATAACGAACAACGTCTTGGAACGGAATTCGTTCGTAAACCGAGTTGCCTGTATATGACGCGGCAGTTGATTTATCTTTACATTAGTTCATGCCCTCGCCAATATATGGCGGGGCAGTTCACTTATCTTTACATTAGTTCATGTCTTTGCCAATAGAGGGCGAAGCAGGTCACGTAACTTTGAGTTGTCGAGGTTTCTATCCGGATTATAGGATACCCAAGGAGGTAACCGGGTCATAAAATGTTCGCGGGCCCATTACTTCAATTCCCAATTCACTTATCTTTACATTAGTTCATGTCCTCCCCAATACAGGCAACTCACGGTTTAAGAACGAGTTCCGTTCCAAGACGTTGTTCGTTCTGTGTCTTGAATTCCTGAGCTTTTACGATACGTATTGTATACGTTAATAGCCATTTTAAAGTATTAAAACTATGTACCATAGTAAAACTGCTGTTTGCTCTGTGAGGTAACTTAAGTATACGTATGGAAATACGAATTAATGAAGTTTTCTCAGGGTGAGCGCTCAGTAATTTTTTCCGTCCCTTAACAATGTGGGGCCCATCAAACTGCCCAAGTAGGCCATGTTTCAGACAGCGGCTTCGTTATGATTCTATTTGCTTAAATCATAACCGACGTTATTCCTCAAAATTCCACGAGGGTCTTCACTGTCAAACATTTACGCCTACGCAATTACCTACTTCAGAATGATTTCGATTTCTTTTAGGCCTACTATATTTCAACTTACCGTGTAACATGGGCTACATAGTTGCCTGTGCAAGAACATACGCGTGTGGTAACTTTCCTGTCTGGCTCCTGGATAGCAAACATCTTTCATGGATGGATTTCGACGCCACAGAACCTTAAACCTTGAACACCATATCCAAAATCGGTTTTGTGTCATCTTCGGACTGGTAAAAGTTTATGCCACTGCGAAATACCGCACACTGAGAATCCTCCACTGATTAAATCTTCAAGGTATGCTAAAACTGTTCCCCTCATTCTAAACGACAGTTTCTTGCCAACTTCGTCTCACCCGCTTTAATAGGATTTACCTTAAAAAAAGGACGTGAGGCAAAGGTCAGTTTTAAGCGTGTCCTTGTTTGCAATTGCCATCAATCGGACAGTTAGTGTTCGCACTCATGAAAAGAATGCAACAATTATATAACTATCAACATCATACTAAAACTACTGGTAGAAATAACAAATAATAAGTACAAATTACAACACCAATGTCTTGCTTTGTTTGTACTCACCTCTCTACGACTTCTGTACGTGAAAATTCTCTGCATATCCTACTACAGGTCTGCACGGGTCCGGGCTTGGTTCAAATGACAGCTAACTAACGTTACATATAACGTTTCGCAATTTCTTGGGATATTATTTTTTTCGCAAAACAAAAGTTATTCATAGTTTCGTCTTATGCCCATGACATATTTGGGCTTTGCAAACAAATCCCATTGACTTTATTTTCTCGGCGATTTTCGTAGACGCCCCTTCCCAGAAATAATTGGAGATAACATCTTACAAATTTGGCATCCGCTATTTTTGAACCGTTCCCTAAACGCCAAAAATAACCTGAGATGGTTTACAGAGTCGTTAAATAATTCATTCATGGATTACTGGCATTTATACATTAAGGTGAACATGTATTATTAATGTTACGATAGTCAAGGCAGATTGTAAATAGGCCGGGCTTCATTCGGTTTGGAATAAAAGGAAATCGGGCTTAGGTGGGGTATAGGTTAACATATCTGAAAGTTAACTTCGGGCTCCGGCTGGGTAAAATTACAACATTTTGGCCCATGCAGACCTCCAGCACTGACTGGTACAGTTTGGAGTTAAAATA